TAGGCTAGGGAGGCTTGGCCGATGCATCTCCATGCTGGGGCTTCTGAAGAAGCCATTAAAGCACACACATATGTTATAGCACCCTGACATTCAGGTACTTCTGGAGCTCTGTGTATTTCTGTATTTTAACACAGGATCTAGGTACAAGTGTAAAAAAATACAATATTATTACTCTAGTTAAATGGGAAAACAAATCAAACCCAAATGCTTTTAATCTCTGTTACAGCAAATGAATTATAGCTCCAGAAGAAAATAAGAATTCCTTTCCTGAAGTTTTCCTGCAATATTTTTTGTGAATAGATAGTCACAGCTGAGCACATGCCATCTCAGAATCAAGTTTACGTCAGTCTTGTCGATAGAGAATCAAGAATATGAATCCTATCATCAGCAGACTAGAATTTGTATTAAATGTGTCAATAAGCACTGTGTTCACATCATGACTGTGCTTGCCAGGAGGCTTGTACTTCTCTATGATGAAGTACTATTTTTCCCATCAGTAAGTCAAAAGCTGGAGCCACTCAGCATTAAATCATTTGAAGCCAGACATCTATTAACACATTTAGAGAGACATGGACAAACACTTCCACTAAAGGATGATAGCTGGCAGATAATTTATTCAGTCTTTCCTGAAAGGTGATGGTATAGATAATAACTGAGCTCAGGAATAAGCTAGAGTTATAGACTTATAGGTATAAGTCTAGGTATAAGCTAGACTTGTAGATTTATAGGTGTTAGCAGACTAACATCTTAAGCAACAATTTTAGTTTGATATATACAGGAACAAATGAATAAATATGAAACAAATATTTAATATTTTGTGCCAAAATTTGTGTAACTTCATGGAAAACTCAGCGGAATTCAAGGAACATCACTCATCTTGGAATCCAAGAATACATTTATGTTCTTTCTCAATATAACAGGAATGGCTGGCAAAAGCAGCACTTGTGATTGCAATCATGCCTTCTAAGATATTTTAGGTCCAGAACTGCTCTATAGATATTTCACAGTGACAGGTTTATTTAAAACTAATTGTAGCTTGTATGTTTAAACATATAAGTATATAACTTATATGTTCAAAATAATTAAATAATAGTAGTAAAGATAATGATAATGATAATGATAATAATAATATCAACAATAATAATGACATTAGTTCTTTCTCATAGCTGATTTTGATAGCTGTTATTGCACAAATTCTCTTGAAAGGGGGTTACCAGAATGTATGGTGGTGAGCCTTATCTCTAGCTGTATTCTCAATGTCCCAGCAATGAGATCTCCATACCCTTCAAGGTTAAATGTTTATGCATGTTACCTTTTCAAACTCATGGAAAGGCCATATTGAAGTGTTTCCTCCGAAATGTTCTACTGATTCCTAAGTTGTTACCTCAGAATTCAGGAGACATTGCTGCTAAAATATGGTTAATACACAATACACAAATATATATAAATATCAAATAATCCTAAATTTTGGTAAATATTATAGAATGGATTAAAGAAGTATGGACTCAGTTCTGAAGTATTTTTCAGAGTGTCACTTGATAAGGTAATACAAAAATCATTTGATGTTCACATCATTAGCACTTGGATCTGCTTGCATTGCATCTCCAGGGCAACATTTGGATGGAAATTCAAGAAACATTTTAGTTACAGTTTTATTGTGTTCAAAGTTCATGACAGAGATGGATAGTTAGTTGAATTCACCATTATGATTTATTGGTGAAAAGCATATGCTTTGGTCTTTTGTGTTGGCAATTAGAGAATATTTTATGCAGCACTCAGGGCATTTAGGCCAAATCCCTACGTTATGAAGGCAATCAGAAGTTGTTGTTCGAAGCACTGCTAGCCCAAACTGGATTTAACTCAAGAACCGAATAGCTGAATCATCTTTGCTGATGAAACACTTACGTCAAGAATAGCTAACTTCTGTGTGCTCTTGAGGATGCTTTTATCCTGGCCATATGTTTGCAAACTAGACAATACAGTCAAGTTAGCATGTCCTGTCTGCCGCACATAATAAAACGAACATTCCTAGTATGGAGTCTTCACATTACACTCCTAATCTTCCCCTAATAGCACAGGAAAAGGAAAAGGGAAAGTTTATGTGGCCTCGCTAACCAGCCCCTTGTCTTAGAGCACCTGAGATTGCCCTATTAGAAGAAGGGGTTACAACACTAACTAGTCATTCCCACCCGAAGTGGTCAAAGTGAAATTCACAGGATATCAGCCTTAAAAACATCAATATTATGTCATGGAAAATTATTTCATTGAAAGCTGAAAGCATTATCACCCAACATATTCAACTTCAGAACTGACTACTTAAAAGTATCTGAGGTGGGACACAGCTATGGAAGTAGAGCAGTAGTTGGGTAGAATAATAAGATTATCAACATAAATTGTAAAATATGCAAAACACAGGTTGATATTTTTCCTTTTATTCTCCCAGCATTTTTTTCCAGAATAAATGAATATAGATTTGACTGATAACATTGCCTTTCACTCTTTGTATCTATATTGCAAGAACATGAAATAACCATATTTGGAAAAGAACCTAATTATTTTTCTCAACTGTATTAAATAGTAATAAAACATGGAAAGCTTAAGGAAAAACAGCTAACTGGAAGCTATATTGCAGTCCCAGTATCAGCAAGATAGCATTCCCCTAAAAAGTGCTTGTATTCTACATATTTTTCCGCTCAGAAATTACTTGGGCAAAAAATCACAATGTAAATATTTAGAAGGAAACTTTCATCTCAGAATTGTTTTTTGTTTTTGTTTTTGTTTTTTTTTCATTTGCAAGTGCTTGTACAATTCCTCCAGGGACTAATGAAGCAACCTGGCCGGGCTACAGGACTACCTGTCCATCCTCCCTCTCAATGAGATGCTGTAGTGCCTGTTGCAAATCTACAAGACAGTGAACTAGGGCAGTGGCAGGGAAATGGCCCCATGGCCAGGGCCCCACAGCCAAACACCCAGGGCCAGTTCTCCTGAGCGCTGCCAGTAGCTGCCAGGACCTTCCCAATCCACCTTACTGAAAAAGACCTGGGCAATCACCCACAAGCACGAGAGTTCATAGCCAGTGCATTTGACACTGAAATTCTCACAATAACCTTTATTATTTTACTTCTTGCTTTAACAAGACAGCTCCTTTGGAAAAAAGGAAGAAGAAAAGAAACAAAAATCAGAAAGAAAGCACTCAAGAGACTAAAATATCATTGTTTTGAGCATTGCAGGCAGTGAACATCCATTATGCTCCTAAGAAGTTGTGGCATTTCCTTCACTTAGATGAAGAAAATGCCTGTAGTATTAACAGTTAGTATTGTAGTATTACAATAGACTACAGATTTTTACAGAAGACACTGGCTATTTTGGAATTCAAACTCTACCTACTTATTTACAAATCCAGTTATGAACACAAGAGAACTACAGAAATGTAACTACAGAAGATGTCAGTTTTCCTTGAAAATCTAAACCTTTTGAGGCTTCTAATGAATAATGGAGGATTCCTGATACTTTATGTGTCTGGAACTGTAAGAAGAAAATGGCTGTAAAACAGCTTTAGGACAATGTCCAGGTATGCAAATCATGCTCTGCAGTTATTTAAATGAGTTGCAAATTATATGTTCTTTGCTGCAAATGGAGCAGTGCAATGACATAGGTAATTCCCTGAAGCATTTCTATGCACAGTTCAATTTTACACTGCATATTTTGCTGTCTTCAGAAATGTAACAAACTGTAACAAAACCAAGCAGAAAGACAGAAAACATTTAACCATGAGATTAACTTGCAAGGGAGAATTTAATTGAGAATTTGAATTAAAGTCTTAGGAAGTCAGTGCTCAAATATCAAAAAAATGCTATCAATAGCATGGATTATATCTTCCATCTTCGTACTCCAAGAAAGTACACTGTCATTTGAGCTAAAGAACTGCTCTTACTGGTGGTTGGAAATAATAACCATATATTAAACAGAAAAAAACAGCAAGTAATAGTTATCAATTGTAATTACCATTACCATTCTCTCTCCAGAAACTTTTCTCCATTTTGCCTGATCCCAGACTCTCTCCACGCTTCTCCTCTTCCTATTTGATGAAGATTTCTTCTTAGCTGGACTGGGAAACTCATTTCTTCCAATGTTAAAAAAAAAAAAAAAGAGTAATTTTTGGTTATTACCTGATGTCTAATTACCTATATCTGATGTAGTCATATGGAATTGACATTTTAGGAGATTTCAGTTTTATTAGTACATGCTAACCTGAAGCCTCTTTGTTCACTATTCATTCGCCATTTAGTTTAAAACAGTGTTTCTTTAAATATATTTTAAAGGCTATTAAAAAAACACTTTTCCTCTATAACCTGAGATTGCTAGCACTCATAAAAATGAATCATGAATAGCGCTGATGAGCGATAAAACTAATCTAGGCAGACGATACCAAGTATCACCAAGAATTTCTGCCAGTGCAGCTCTGCTCTCACCTGAAAGATATTTCCTCTGTACTTGTCTGATTAGATTGCAGGCACTCAAAGGGGAACACACAGCTATATTCATAGAATATCCTCAAACTAGCAAGGAAGTGGCATTTCCAGACAAAGAGATGCAAATTTATTTTTATCATGGAGGGGAAATAATTGCATTTGAACTTAAAGTGGCAGTTGTGTGTTAGGACAAATGGATCTGACACAATCTGCACCAAAGTTTGCAAAACACCAAATTACACTCCAAATTACCAAATTACATCAAAGATTACACTCACAGCATTCATTTTTATTTAAGGTATAGATATGTGTGTGTTCGTGCAGAGAGTTTCAGCTTACCTGTGTGCACATCAAGGAGTGCATGGAAGATCAGCTCCTAGTTTGGTGCCTCTTTCATAGGAAGAAAGAGGCCATGAACTTACTCTAGCAATGACCTCTGGTGACCCACCCAAGCAGTAGAAAATGAAGCAGATGGTTACATCTCAAAGACACTATTTTTTTAAGAAGTTCAGATAAAAAGACACTCAGTATTTTATATATAAGGCGTTTATTTAAAAGAGGTATCAATTACAGCTGGCAAAGTATTTTACTTTCTCCTGCCATCTTATGATTTGTCAGACTGTCCCCCAGTCCCATTAGAATCATGGTTCAAATTAAACCTACATTCAAATCCAATTATGTCTGATTCTGTTCCAACTATGTCTCAGTTTGTTGGATCAGTTGTAAAAATTCACTACTTGGAAATCCAGAATCACAGAATAGTAAGTCATTTGTGACACAAAATATCTAAGACATCATTACAGTCCTTATAAGAATTAATTTTGATAGCACAGTAATGATGGAAATATTGAATCAGGTTTGCACAACACAGAAATACTGCCCTCCTGTAGGACAATGCAGAACTTCAGAAAAAAAAAATACAACAGAGGACAAATTTTCAGCCTCCTTATCCACAAAGCAAGGCATAGTGGTAAAATATATGACTTGCAAACACAGCAAATATAACAAAACAGCAAAAAGAGTTCAATATCTATGCTGAAGTGCTGTTTTCCTCGGGGTCTCTGTCTACCAGATGAATGCTTCCTGTGATCACAGATTCATCTTGAGCTGAAGTGTTCTCCAGCTGCTTCCTTGTGCAATATGGAATGTGTCCACAGAAATACATGTAAATCCAGGGGTTGATACAACTATTTAAGTTGCCAAGGAGCATGATAATGGTGAATGCTGACCCTAGAATAAGATAGTTAAAGGAATAACAGAGTAAGTAAAGCAGTCATTGAAATCAGTAACATTACCACAATCTGATGCTTTCTAGAATACCTGTTCACACACTACAGCTAAAGAAATAACAGAAGAATAACATAAAAACTTCTATTTATTCAATGTAATTTTTATCTAAGGTATAAAATGTACTATAGCTGCATGTATTTCAGAGTTAAATAGTTCTGTATACTCTTTTTTTGATGTAGATGCATTGTTTTTAAAAGCTAATCAAAGAATTATTAATTTGATACACATATGCAGATAAAAAAATGTAAACACAGTTATTGATAGAAATAGAGACTAAGACTCAGAACTCACAGGAAGAACTCTTAAATAAAGACTGTAAGATTTTTTTTCCGTTAGGCTATTAACTATTTTTCTTGGTTAATAGCCATGATTTTTAATAGGTTAATTTGATAAGTAAATTCACATACTAAGTCTGCATTTCAAAGAGCCAACGGTATAAACTTGACAAGATTAATTTTAATACATGTGTTCTTTGATATGTCAGACTTGCTTGCTTGATAAACAGCTGTTACCCAACTTTTAATTGTTTCATAGTTTACTGCAAATACTTGATTTCCATATTCAAAAAATATTTCAAATGTTTTATATCATTACTGTTCTATTCATTAAATACTTTGAATAATTATTCCTTTTCATCTCAAGAGCTCCATGTGCTTTACTATATTATCTAAAATCCACACAAGTCTGAACTGAACCTCTGCTGAAACTGTTGATACTTTTTACTGGACTGTGTATTAATCATTAGAGATTAATCAATCTTGTTCAGTAAGTCTTGCCTGCAGGAAAAATCCATACTTAAAGAATACATGTATGCATACAAACATACCTGGACAGACACACACATGCACACACTCACATACAAAATACCTACAATGTGATGTTTTGATCATGTTATATAGAAAAGTTTTCTATGTCTAATGAAATATATGAGCTAAACAATTCTGCCATTCATTTTTAATCCTCTTCAAATGATTACATGCAACTTTGCACAAAAGTGAAGCCCACATAAAAAGCCATGTGGCAGAATATTAGCCTGCCATAAAGTTGTTAAGGAGGATTGGAGAGGATCTTACCTTCAGTAACGCCACTTGGGAACCAAACAGACCACAGCTGTGCAATGAAGAAAGGTGACCAGCAAAGAACATATGCAAAAACTGTTACCACAGTCATTTTTACAGTCTTGATCATAGCCTTGGAAATACAGTTAACACTGCTTGCTCGGGATGGCAGGACTTGCTTCTGATTTGTTACTTCATATTCATTCTGTTTTTTCACATATATATTCCTTTTGATTATTTTGCAAATCTTAACCTGGCATGTAATAAGGATGGCTGAGGGGATGAAGAATATAACTACAAAAATCCAAGTTACATATGCCCTTGGGCCCCACGGTGGAATAAATTCACCCCAACATTCATAGATGCCTGGAGATATTTCAGTCTTAGAAAAGATAAATACCTGTGGGAGGCTAAGCAGCAGTGATAAAGACCAGCTGGTGCAAATGGGAATGTTCCACAAGGCTCTCTTCTTTTGGAAAGTCACCATAGGGTAGCAAACTGCTTGATATCTGTCCACAGTCATGACCACTATCATATAAGTGGAGGCAAACATGCCCAGCAACTGTAAATACTTGACAACTCTGCACAAGAAATCTGGCCCTATGAAAACATCTGTAATATCCCAAATCAGCTGAGGCAGAACTTGAAAAAATGCTACCACTAAGTCAGCTATGCTGAGGTGGAGCATGAATACATACATTCTAGAGAGCTTCTTTCTTCTTCTCCACAGTACCAGTATGAGAATAAAATTGCCCACAGACGCTGTCAGAAATATCACCCCCAGCACAGCGATCTCTACTTGAGCCAATTGCTCGTCTCTTTCTGGTCTTCCAACAGGATCTGACTTATTTGTCAAGCTTAGGAATCTGTGAGAAGAAGGACTTTCAGTCTGATGTGTGCTGTCTTGCATAGGAAATGAAAAATTCTTCATCGTGCACAGAAGCTACTTACAGTAGCTGCTACTTGCGACTCAGGTTGACAGCTGTGGAGGACTAGCTGGTAAACAAACCAGCCGGCTTCAGGTTTCAGTACGTCTCCAAACAAATCTCTTCGTGCGTGTGGGAACCTAAAGCACTAGACCTGTATCTTGATAAAATTGTGGCTCTTGCTGGAGTGCAAAAAGGCTTTATATAGGCTTCAAATAGAGCCTTATGTAACTCCAGAATCATCTGGTAGGCTGCAGTTATCCCAGCCAATAGGAGAGCAAGAAATACAATTGGGTGAAATATATAAATAAAAGGCGAACTTCAGAGCCTCAGCATAATTAAATTACTCACTTCAGTCAAAAACCTAAATTGTAAATAGCTGTGGCCAAAATCATACTTCAATGATATTACTCATGAGACTTCTTTCAAATAGTTTTCATGCAAGCCGTAAGTGCATGCTCCGGTTTAACAAGGAATGCTTATACGTAGACGGAAAGATAGGCCCCTGAGCTCAGGCACATCGTAACTGCAATTCTCTAGGCTCCTGGGGCAAAGACCACATCCTCAAGGCAATACAAAGAAACATGTTTTTCCATGTATTTTTTTTCTTTCTTTTTTTTTTAAGATTCAAGTCACCTGATTTGGGGAAAAAAAAAAAAAGGTTTATAACTGCTCTAAAAATAAGATTTTTATTGCAAGAATGGCCAAGACTTAGATGATTTTTCTCAGCAAAATGAAAAATAACACATGTGAAATAAATTACTTTTATTGGGACTGTGAGTCTACTGAGAATTTAATAGAAAAAAAAGAGGGAAAATTCAAGGGGCAATCCAAATGAGGAAAAGGTCAGCATGGCAAAACAACTTTAGGACTCTATTCTACTATAGTGCTAAAAGCTGGAAGATTATTAATCACTATGTAACCCTTTTTCTTTTTGTGCAGTAAGTTGTATCATGACTGTGACAATTTCATTAGTCTGTCCCCAAGGACGTCTTTGCACATTGTTAGTGGCAGACTGGAATAGCAATTTTGATTTAATTTCTTCTGTTCTCCCCCAGTCCCTTAGTCATAATAAACGGATCTAATAAAAAGAATTATTTTTATATGAATGATAGCACACATTTGTATGCAATCTTGACTAAAGTTAGGACAGTCATGCTCTTAAAAGAAGTCAGGGGGTTGGTAATTTGGAGTCCTTATGAAGAGGAAACTGGTGAAAAGTATGTCCATTTTGCATGATGCTGCACCTAATACTGATTAATCATGACTACCGTATAAAACTATCTGAGGACTTTTGTGAACATCCCCTTGGCAATTAATATTTTCGGGTCAAGGATAGAATTCAACAGGATGCAAAGAGTATGCTGAAATAGCCTACAAAGGTTTATAAAACAGTGTGATCTGTTTTCTCTCTTTCTTTTTTCTCCTTCTTCCCACCATGGAAGTTCAATTAGTAACTCAAGCGAGTGTGGGCCTATGTGAGGACAAGCTGTACAACCTCAGTGAGCAACTACCTGCGGCAGCTACAAGGATACAGATAATCCAGATTTGACTGAACAGTTGCAGTAGGTCTAAAACAGGTTTTGGCTATGACTACTTGCAAAGAATCTAAATTTCTAAATTATCACAAATTAGTCAGAAATATCTGACTTTTTTTTTTTTTTTTTTTTTTTGGTAACAGGAAGCCTATTTGTAGCAAAGCTGGATTTCAACGGTAGAGAGGGTTTTTTTAGTTTTCCCCAGCTTGGTATCCATCTTGACTAGTGGGGAACAGTATGGCAAGACTGTGAGGGAACAGATGTATTTCCTTCAGCTGTCACCCTCCCTTCCCTCAATAGCTTCCAGAAGAATAACGGAGCTGGCCACAGTCCAAGAATCCCTGGCAATTCTTCTGATTGCAAACAGTGTGCTGTAGAGCAGGCTGGCTGATCTCCATTTCTGCCTTCAAATGAATGTAAAATTTCTGCTGCATGTTCCAAAATCATTGACCCTGACAGCTTCACACCAAGAGTTAACAAAAAGCCAGGTGTGATCTTTAGCCCACTAGCAGGATACTGGGCAAACACCTACATCTAGACAGAGCTAGGATGAGGTAGGTTGAAACAGAAGCGTGTTGAATGGGATATAAGCTTATATTTACCTGTCATAACTTGAAAACCAATCAAGAAATTTTAAGTAAAAAGCTTATGCAAAATGGCTTATGCAATATTCATCACTACCAGGATGCTATTAGAAAACTAAGCAGACTATAGTATCAGAATCATATCTTCATATGCTTTCCGCAATGAGTATGTGGTAAGGATAGACATATTTCAGGAACATGTACTCCATAATCTACATCGACATCTCTGCCTCTACATCCAGAACAGTTCAACTAGATGCCTGGGCATATGTAAAACTTTTATACTATACATGTGTTCAAAGCACAAGATGTCTGGGCAGCACATATGCCAGGTATCAGACCAGCACATGGCCATGGGCTAAAGGGCAAACACACGGTGCAACATGTCAGCTCTTTCATGTTTACCCAAAGAGAAGTGGCCCTACTCAGGCAAATTGCCCTAGTAATGTAGGAATACATTAGTAATTATAAAAAAAAAATCCACACCGTCTCACATATAATTAGTTCAATACATGCTAATAGTTTCATAACTTCACATTTATGCCCTTTCCAGCCTTCTCATTCATGCTAGCTGACATTCAGGGTAATGTTTTATTTAAACTGAATCCACCTTGGGAATATAACTCACTGAGAAAATAAGAACTGGATAACAGATGAAAATATTTAAGCAGTTATAGTTGTTCTTTTATTCTAAGTGTTCTCTTGTTGCTCAACTTTATCTGTTCAGGTTTTTTTTTTTCTAAATAATTTATTTTCAGTGCTGTGGGAAGAAGCATTTTAACATCTTCTGAGTTTCTCAGTGTGGGCTTTCATCTAATGTTTGTCAGTTAACTGGTAGGGAAGAATTCAGCTCACAGATGCAGCCACCTAAATTTAGGTGTCCACTTCAAACTGCAATTTGGAAGGGATCTCAGGTAGTCCAGCCTCCTGAATTCGGACCACTTTTCTTAAGGCTTGTGCAGTCAGGTCTTGCAAACATCCAAGAGTGAAGACCCCACAACCTCCCTGGATACCCTATTCCAAATGCTTAATTATCCTCATAATGAAAAAGTTGTTTCCTTATGTGCAATCAGAACTTTCTCATTTCAGTTTGTGACAACTGTCTCTCATCTGCCATACACCTCAGGAGCCTGGCTCCATCTTCTTGGTAATCTCCAACCTCCCATAGGTTCTGGGAGGCTGCAATTATGTGTCCTTGAAGAATTCTCTTCTCCAGGCTGAAGAAGCCCTGATCTCTCAGTCCCTCCCTACGGGGCAAGTACTTAATCCCTCCAGGCATCTTCCTGGCTCTCTGCTGAGTTCATTCAAGGTTATCAATATCTTTCTTGTACTGCAGGTTCCAAACTGGGTACAAGCTGAAATACAGGCAGTTCCATCTGCATGTGAGGATGAACTTCTTTCCTGTGAGGGTGACAGAGCCCTGGAAGAGGCTGCCCAGGGAGGCTGTGGAGTCTCCTTCTGCAGAGATCTTCCAAACTTGCTGGATGTGACCCTGTGTCATGTGCTCCAGGTGTCCCTGCTGGAGCAGGGGGATGGACTACATGATTTCTAGAAGTACCTTCCAGCCTTAACCATTCTGTGATTCTGTGAAAACTTGATGTGTATCCAGATACGGTATAATGAATTCTGAATAAAGGTGAATAATCATTTTCTTTGACCTATAGGAACTATGTGTCTAAACATCTATTACAGTCAAAGGAAGTCATGAGTTCAATTCAGCCCCTAAAATTAGGTAATAAGATTACCTAATCTCCTCCACAGATGGAGATGCCCTAGCACTTATTGTTGGGCCTGCTGATATAAATCCAGAAAGATACAGGACCACAGGACTTGTGTCATCATCTATCTAACTATATGTCTAACATATCTCAGGACAACTCAGGTGATGCCGAATGCTTATGCACAGACAACTGCATTGAACTCACTGCGCTCCCTTTAAGCTTACTGAGAGTTGAATAGCTCTTCAGGATTCACTGGATGCATTTGGCAATAGGAATTTAGATGCTTAGCTCTCATGCAGACACCCCCATTTAGACACCCACACAATATAAAATCTGCATCGCACCTACAATGCATCTTATGAAAGATATCTTTATGCAACTCCATCTATTTCCCAATTAATAGGGAATATATTTTTAAAAATATATTTTAAGTGTTTTAGGTACAAAAAGAAGGAATAATATGGAAAAAAATGAATGGATTATGAAACCAATCTTCTGTTATCATTGGTGACCATACAAAATAGTTCCTAAATTCTTCACAGTTCTCCTTGTAAAGTAGGTTTTAGTTTCTTACTGTTTGGCAGCTGTTCCAAAATTTAACAGTTAGATGGATGGAAGTAAGGCTCATCTTATGCAACAGTCACCTTAAATTACTCATACCCCTATGTAATTCTTATTAATAATTATGAATTGTCTCCAGATTTATTATGCACACAAACATATTTTTTCAGTATAATGTTGTACTAGAGACGGCCAATGGTTTATTAGCTTAAGTTTTACACAACACTGCTTAGACTGCAGTATAGTTAAACTTTCCAAAGTCTTCTCATAGAGTTTCATCAATGTATTATTTTTCACATGTATCTTGAGAGCCTTTATATGGCCCATTTTGAAAATACTGTTCTAATTTGCACAACTCCAGCATTTTCCAAATTCTTTAACACCTTCTTCATCTTCCTCTCTCATCCTGAATCTGGCGTCTTGCCAGCTAATCCACCTGAATATACTGATGTTATACAAGATGCAAGTCAGGTAAGAATTTTTTCTTTATCTGTGGTTACATAATCAATTTAAGCCATTTTTTTCTCTGTTTCTCAACTGGAGACACTTTCAGAGCTAGGATTTAGGCAAGTCTCAGCCACAATTTCTCCTGAGGCTACAGTACTGACTATACAAAACTACGCGCCTTCATCATAGAATCACAGACTCATAGAAATATCGTTTGGAAGGGATTGCTTTAGGTCTTCCTCCAGAGTGTGACTGTCCATTGAGGTGGAGCTAACACTAGTTCAGGTGTGACACAGCAGCACGTAGCTGA